TCCCAGTTCTCACCAAGGCAAGCACTGATGGTCCTCTCAGCCGATTGAACCTCTGTGTCGCCTTTCTCCCCTTCCAAAGCCACAATCGTGTCCAAGTTGACTACCGAAATCGGCCTCTCGGTCTCTTGGCGACGCTTATGTGAAGTTTCGCCGACGCTTTTCGCCAAGGGATTCGCGGCCACAACAACCACCCTATCGGCTGTTGACTCTCCACCACCGCCTTGGGACGCCTTTTGTTGCTTCCACAGCTTCATCATTTCACGAGTGCCCAAGCTGGCCATTCTATCTGCAAAAAGCGCACCCAATGATTAGTAACAACAACAAAGGCCAAAGATGGTAGTAAACAACTTTAACGTTCGAACAGGCGCAAAATACCTATATATATTCTCAACTCCTGGGGCCTATTTTCTAGATCTAGGAGTTTCGCAGTGTTGAAAAGGGTTTTCAGATCTTCAAGTTTCTTAACGTCCTTTCGGTCATCCTCCGAGAGTGACTCGGGACTTAGTCCACCGAAAGAAATCGGTTTCTGCCTCCAGAAAAGAGGATACCCATCAAGTATACCCTCATGCCCAGGCAGACAACGAATGCAAAAAAAAGATCTTTTAAAGTCTTTATACGAAGACTGAAAAAGAGATAGTAAGCCCCGACCGGACACGCTACCCACCAACACCCAGCTGCTACGTTTCGAGACACGGGCTTCGAAGAAATAAAAGAATTTCCTAGGAGTCGGAACGATACCGAGACTGGAACATAGAATTTCGAACCCTCTAACAAAGGCCCAACTATTGGGGTGGAATTGGGTCGGGGCAACATCCAAGGCTCTAAGCACTCCCTTTTCACACTCGGTAAGGGGCCACCTAACCTTAAGCTTAGCAACTAGGGTAACATAGCAAAAGGTGAAACGTTCAGAGGCCGAACTAACACATACTGGCTCCTTATCCACACAAGGCTCGCAAACTAGGATATTATCCGGGCTCCGGCTTACGACATGTTCATTATTAAAGCTTTCCATTGCAGCCCAAGAGTTTATACAAGAGTCACACTTCAACTTATCATCTTTTACCCATTCATAAACCTCTTTATAATTTACTAACGCCATGGATTTAAAGCCTAAATATATAACTAACTAGAGAGGCAGACAAAGAACAACTACTAAACACAACAAGTATTTGGGCGTACCTACCGGGTTTTCAAAATAAAAACACTTCCTTTCCTCTAGAAAATGCCTCAGAACCATCGTAAACCACCGCGAGGAGGCGGAGAAATAGGACAAGCGATCGCCGGAGAAGAAGCACGAAAGAAAATGGGGGGAAGAAAAAGGTGAAATGATTTGTACAGAAGGGGTATTTATAAAGGTGAAAAGTTGCGCGTGGGGAACGACGCGCGTGAAACGCCACGTCCCATAACCTTTGGGATCCCCAGTGCTTCTACGACGCGCGCTAATTGACACGTGGCAATGCCATAATGACTCCTTTCGAGAAACGGCGCCACAATAAATGCACGTCCCTTCAGGAGTAAGGTGAAGGGACAGGCCTTGGAAGCCGTTACACAGACGACACATCAAACGTCCGTCGAGCCGTGTCACTACTTCTCGTGCCTTCACGGTCGGACTTCGACCACGAGGCTAGTCGACCATGGCTAAACCAACCCTCTTTATCTTGTAAAGCCTTCTCGCCTATCACACTCAGGATTTGTCGCCAAGGTAGCTCAAAAAGAGTACTCATTTTAGCCTTTTCGTCTACACTAGATAACTTTTTGCCTCATTATTTTGAGTCGGCAGTTACCAACCATGTGGCTCGGTCACATTTAAACTTAAGAAAAATTTTCATTTTATTCAAGTGAGTGTTTGGTCGACCACTTCGTTAAGTATCGTTTTGACTTGGCTTAGTTTTTCATTTATCACGAATTGGCATTCTGGCTGTTGTTCAATTCAGAATTTCGCTTAAAAAGTTTATTTTGTGCGAGACATGGGCGACCACATGAAAAATTTGATTGTTATTGTACCTTTGGAAAAGCGTCAATCTATTATTCGGAATCTAGGCGAATTCCTCTCGAAGAACGTTCCTTAGAAAATTTTCAAGTTAATTCCAATCGGATTAGGGGCGACCACCTTTGATTTTACTTAGAAAGCTCGGAAATTTGACAAATATGCTTAGAAAATGTTCATATAACTTAGAAATTTCAGTTCAATTTTGAACTCGGAATTTGACCGAGTATGATTGGAAATGTCCATCTAGTGTTTCATTTTGACCAACTATGCTTGGAACATGTCCTTTTTAACTTAGAAATGTTTTCTAATTCACTTTTGAATCCGAATTTTCGCCGTTTAGATTTGGAACATGTTCATCTAAATTAGAAAATAATTTTCAACGGGTGAATCTTTTCATACCTGGCTATTCGGAATTTTAACGGTAACGGGAACAAGTCGGCATTTGACCGACTCCCTAATACTTGGTTCAAGTGAGATTTTTAACTTGGAATTATCTACTTCTTTAATCAGAATTTAGCCGATTTCTCGACTTAAAGGAAGCTCTCAAACTTAGAATTATTTCCTCTTATTTAATCGGAATTTGGCTGAGTACTTGATCCAAGTATGTTTTTCAACTTAGAATTATTTAATTCCACTTCTTTAAACTTTCCAATTTAACTTACAGAGTTTTCCACTTAATTACACTCGGAATTTCGGCGATCATTACCGTGAAGCTCCATCTTTAACTTAGAAATTTTTTCGTTACTTTCAACTATTATAGCAATCGGAGTTTGGGCGATTATTACCTTCAAGCTTCATCTTAATTTGAAAAGTTTTTCACATTTGCGCAACATTTTTCGGTCGGCGTTTAGGAGTGGTTGCTTAAGCCCTTTCGCCTTTCAGGCTCAGCGCTGGAAGGCAAGTGTACCGTCCCGGCATATTTCCGATACGATTCATAGGAGTGGTTGCTTAAGCCCTTTCGCCTTTCAGGCTCAGGGCTGGAAGGCTAGTGTACCGTCTAGGTAAAAACCCGACTAGTGTATTGTCTAGGAAAAAACCCGACTAGTGTATCGTCCCGGCATATTTCCGATACGATTCATAGGAGTGGTTGCTTAAGCCCTTTCGCCTTTCAGGCTCAGGGCTGGAAGGCTAGTGTACCGTCTAGGTAAAAACCCGACTAGTATATTGTCTAGGAAAAAACCCGATTAGTGTACCGTCTAGGTAAAATCACGACTAGACTCTCTACTCGTCTAATACCCGACTGGACCGTCACAGGGTGTGGCAACTCGG